CCCCCCGGCAGTGAAGCCCGATGACACTGAGCAGAGAAGTTGAGGACTGAACGGATTGACCAGCGTTTGATTCTCATTACTGTGGAATTCTCTGCTTGTTAAAGGAGTTTTGGTGCGACGCTCGGCACAGTGTGCGCACACATTCCTGTGCGTTTGCAGGTCAGAGACCCTCAGATGCTATGTGTCTGCGAAAGGCAGTGAGGGATAGTTTGTAGCAGGGAGCGTGTGTATTGCAGCCAGATGTTAAGAGGAATGTGACGTGCTGGAATGCAGTGGCTGCTCGGTCCGTCCCACCCCTCTTTTTCTCTTCCCTGCCCTTTGTACCCATCTCATGCCTCACTCTTAAAACCCCCTCTCTTTACCCTTCAGACCACTTTCTTTCTCCTCCTTTTGACTTTATATAGAAAATCTCACACTAATGAATGCTCTCCTGTCAGGGTCTAATTGTTTTCATCACCTCTTCAAGTCCTTTTAAACAGATAACTTGTATAGAAATGTTTTAAGACAGCTTTAAAGTGATCCATTCTTTATGAATTTGTTCTTTAAAATGTCAAATTGTGGACTGTGCCCCTGATAAGTTGTAAAAGTTGAAAAAATATACAAAATTTGTTTCAAATTAAAGAAAAGCTGTGGGCTGCTTTGCTGTAACAGTGTTTTATGTTTGAGAATAGGACTTTTTTGAGGAACTGAAACCAGAAACACAATTGTCGAGACTGTTTACTCCAGGGTTTTGCATAACTACAAGAACATCTGCTTTCAACATGATTGTGGCTTCATCCAGAAGTTTTCTCTTCTCATACTAGCTTATCCAGTCATTCCACATCAAACAAATGATTGCATTGATATTGAAGAACTTTGTTCTTTTAAGTTAGATACTATAAGGGATTTTATACATCAAGAACGAGCACCAGAATTAGGTCAACTGATGTGGGTTTTCTGTAAAGGATCTTCAGAGATCAGGGCTGATACACAAGTGTGGATCTTTGGCCAACTTTTGTTTTTGACAGAATTATGACGTATGTGTTCAAGTTACGTGTTTATTTAATCACATTTTGGAGAATTTGGACACTGGACATTAGGGGTGTAAGAAAATACACTGAAATATTGCAATATTTCATTTCCCGATACTGTATCGATATTCTAAAGCCCTGTATCGATTTCTTTATTAAGGTTTAAAATGTCAACTTTTCCTGCCAGCCGTTCATTTTTGTGTTGTAGTTCAGCCTCTGGCCACTAGTTGGAAGTAGTGAGCCAGCCATTTGGCTCCTCTACCTCTTGAGCGCCAGAGAGTAAGAGAGCATTAGTATTGTAAGTAAACATTAGCTTCATGCTCCGATAGCTGAATCTGAGCAGAAAAGACAGACACCCTCTGTCTTCTAAGCTGAGGTAAGGTTACAAACAGTTACTTATTTGTCAGAATGTCTGTATTTTAAGCCAAATTAAGTGTCTTGTGCGCTCTTTTTTCCAACTGTAGTCAGCTTTCACTTTACGCATATAGCGCATGTGTCTATCACCTCGAGCGAGCTCAGCACTCCCCCCGTGACATAAAACTCTGTCTGTTGCTCTCTATAGCTACGTTTACATCGACAAAAGTAATCGGATTAAACAACCGTTCGGAATGCGTCATGTAAACAGCCCGTTCCGATTATTCTGATCCAATTGAGCTCGATCCGAATGAATTTTTAATCCGAATGAAAAGGGTGGGTTATGTCAATTGATAATCGGAATGAGGTTCATGTAAACACTTAATCGGATCATCTTATTCTGATTGTAGAAAACTGACCTGTGTGCATGTCTGCTGACTTTCATTCACCCGGTTGGACAGCAGCGCTCCAGCTGCGCTGCACCGCACAGAACTTTTCCTCCTCGCTCTCTTAACAGATGAAAAAGGAGGCACACGGCAGACGTTGCTTCGCAGAAAATAAAAATGAAAAGCACATATTGCTTTATCTGCAGGCTGCAGCTCAACCAAGGAGACGAGTAATAACGTCTCTACCGTTATTAAAAGCTGACACGGGTCCGTCCTGAGCGCACAGAGGAGCTTTGTTTATGTTTGTAATACGGAAGTAGAGCTGAACGTTTACAACACTGCGCATGTCCGGACTTTTATTCTGAATAAAACTCYGGTGCATGTAAACACTTTTCATGATCGGATTGTGTCCATGTAAACAGTACATTCGGATTATTTAATCTGAGTAAATTTCAATTCGATTAAAAAATTTGTGCATGTAAACATAGCTAATGTCCGGCTGATGATCTCATCAAAGTCCATATACTTTATCCTGCTGTGTTCGCTTCAAAAATAGTTTAACTCATTTAGCTTCTCAATTTCTTAACTGGTTTTCTTCGGGACCTGTCCTGCTGTTCGACCCACAGTTATGCAAATCACGTTCCGGATGCAGGTCAGCTGATCCCAGAAACTCTGTGTGCAGCAGCTTCAAATCATCTGTTTACTGAACTTTATGACAACATAAAGACTATTGTTAAGTGTTGGGTGGCAATATTGTAAATTAATATTAAAAACGAAGAGCTGCAAAAAATATATTTTCAAACTATTTATTGGCAAATTTAGTCTAATAATTGAAAACATGGATGAAATATGAAACAAATAAAATAAAACACATACAAAGCAGAACACAGCTAAATGTATCAAAATACAGTATGTCAATGTAATATTAGAATTTTCTGAGACAATGAATTTTAGTTTTTCGTTTTTATTTTTTTTTCCAGTAAGAGGTTT